AATTTGAGCAGGAAGTCTCTTGTTCAGAACTTTGCTCAGGAATAGCCAATATGGAGTCCTCCACATGTTGCTGGACTCCAGTTCTCATCAGCCCCAGCCAGCATGGCCCATGGTCAGGGATTATGGGAGCTGGAGTCCAAGAACGAGGCATTTGCTAGCTTGACTCTCCATGTATTTCCATGGTTTCGACTTCTTAAAAAACACACAGAAGTCAGGGATTTGGGCAACCGAACTATAGGGTGGTGTCAGCAGCAATAAAATCATGCCAAGTGGATTTTACCAGCTCCCCAGTCTCTGGCACCAATTACATGCCAGAATGTAGTTTTATTAAGACCACTAAAATAACGGGCCATCGTCAAAAACACTTCTTCTGAAGTGTTTCTTCTGGGACCTGTTTGTCCCAGAAGGGCTCAGCTAGACTGGTAAAGAAATAGTGATTCATATGCATTGTATGTGTGATATAGCATTGTGCCAACAGATGGAGATGTGGAGTCCCATTTTTCTCTACCTGTTTCCCCTGTTTAAGTTTACAACGCTTTAAATTGAAACACTTCTTTGATGTGTCTAGATCCAGCCTGTGTGTGAGCAAAGGAGGAGTTTGGCTTTACTTTTTAATCAAAGCCTTTCTGTTGTTGTTGAAGTTTGCCATTAACTCCATGGTAAACTTTTCATGGACTTCTAAAACAAGTGGATCAGCTCTCAGCTGCAGTAATTAGAACCTAGAGGGGGAGAATCAGAGTTTTCTTTCCAAATGTTCCTTTTGTAGCGATGTCTCTTCTCTATGCTGTGTGGATTTTGCTTCTTCTTTGTCATTTTTTTAAAAAAAACAACAATCTCTAATTGCTGCAGAACATGTAATTTTGATTTAAAGGCTATTTTGTCCCAGATGTACCATTGAATCATGCTCTTCATTACGGGAAGACACTGCAAACTGAAGACAACCAGGCAGGGTCTCACTGAGATGAACCAAAACAATTGGAAAAGAGGGAGGGGAGCCGTGGCAGGGGGGGTTGATCCTGACAAAAGCCCACAGGTGCTTTTCCTTTCCTCCCCTCTGAGTCGGAGTCAGCATGTTTAGATAATACAACTTCTCATTAAAGGCAGAGTGTGACTGGGGACAGCAAGGAGATTTCTGTGGCTTACTCTCTGATCTGTAATAATTCTTCGTTAGAAGAAATGCCCGTGTTTTCCACCTTGGTGAGCAAAGGGTCACAACTGGGACAATTATGGGGGAATGCAGTTTTAGAAGAAGAAGCACCGCAGAGAAGTTTAGCGTAGCTGATAGCTCACTACCTACCAAAGGTGAGGTTTCTTTCCTGCCTCACATGAACTCCGTCTAGACTTATTGCAGCACCGGGGCAGAAGTCCTCAAGTGCCTTTGCCATTCAACCCATCGTCATCATTGCTATTGCCATTATTGTTCTGCTGAAATCAAAGGCAGCCCGTGCATCTCAGGGGAGAGCTGAGGTCACTAGCAATGGCCACTCTCTCAGAGAGCTTTGCTTGGTTCTCTGTAGTGAAATCCTAACAGCCCAATCTATGTCAAACCCAAAGTGTACCTTTCGCTGTCTCTTGCCCTAGGCAGTTTTACTATTTAGTTCACTGGAATGCAGGCTGCGGCTGTGGCTGACTGACTCAGGAAGACGTTTCTACCTATTTAACCAAGCTAGCCTAACGTCCTCTCTTCTATGGCAATGAATTCAAGTGGACTCAAGCAGTTGTAATATAAAAGGGAGATGGGGGAAAAATCAAGTCTTACTGCTCAAAAATATTAGGACCCGAACGCAGTGACCTTCTTTCTACCGCAGACCTGACCAAACATATAATTTTAAAGCTGGAAAGGAACGCTCCTGTCAGCACCATTTCAACAAAAGGAAGTAATTTCTCCTCAGGGCAGACTGTTTACTGGCTCTGGGGGATTTTGGCTCTGTCTTGAGCATGCAGTTTGGCTTACTTGCTTAAGCCATCTAAAGTCACTTCCAGACAACCTGTTTGCCGAACATTCATCCTGAACTGTCTGCACAAAGTTTGCAGGGAGCTTAAATGATGATGTCTATTTACTGAGCATTCATTTCTGATTTGTTTGCAGGGAGGCTATATAATGTTGCACAAAAGAACATGCTTTCTAGTGTGCTTTCCTGTTTCTTTCCTTATAGCAAAAAGTCTGATTTGGGCAGGAAGAAGATATGTTGAGCAAAAACTCCAAAGCAACTTTATTGTGCAACCTGGATTTGCCAGTATGTGGTCAAATCTCACATGAAAACAGGGACAGTCTGGAAATGTACAGAGTATCTATTTGAGACTCGGAGACCCAAGTTCTCATGAAAACAACAAGGCTCACTTACAATTTATTTATTTATTCATTTATTTAGAATACTTTTTGTGGTTTTTCCATACATCCAAAAAACAAGACATTGCCGCCCCCCCCCCCAATCCATAACCTTAGATAACTCACAGATTTCTGCAGAAGTATCTATTGATTTAATGTTTGCAAACCCTTTCCTTCTTCAGCCTACTGGCAATGCTTTGCTAAGGCGTGCGTAACACCAACAACAGCTGCTTTCTCTTTTTGTCGTCGTTTGTAGAAAACTGTCTTGTGGGGCAGCCAGTACTTTTGTGATTCTGCTTCTCCCAGCACAGGGAGTGAGCACTGGGGAGGTCAAGGAGGGCTTTGTATCCTGAACTTCCCCCGTGGCCAATGATTCCCTGGATAATAGCCGCAGTGTGGTCATTTGGAAAGTTCCACAGTTGGCATTTCCCTTCGCTTTGGGTTGGTTTGTCAAGCATAAAATTAAAACATTAAAAAGCTGATAACCTCTTCAGGAAGGGGGGGAAATCTATTTTAATAACACTGCATTTTTAAATGCATCATTAGAATATTTTGTTGCCACTTCAGCTTTAAAAAAATTGTAGGGTGGTGTGGTGGTGATCCATATCTCTGCCGAGCTGTTTTCCTGGGCTCCATCTGCTGCTCCCTTTTGCTATATGTGACATGACCTTCAGACGCTATGATGAGGGTCTCAGGAGTAAAGGTGAAATAGTTTGACTAAGGAATCCATAAGCCTGCCAAACCTTGGGACTTGGATTTATGGCATTCTGTTGCCTGGTTGTATTGTGCTCTGCTGAACAGGATAGGAAATGATGGTATCCTTGCTGTAGTGCTATAACTTGGCCCGATTCCTGCATACTGAGGAACACCAGCCATTGGCAGTGCTATGGTTCCACTCAAGAGAAACTACTGCACTGTGTAGTTGTGACAAGCCACAGGCTGTCTGCAGGTGAAGAAGGGAAAGGGTGCACAAGAATGTCGAAGACTCTTGAACCACATCCTAAATACTGTCATAGTAACCTCATTATCCTAATGATGTTTTCCTGGTGTGCAGTCACGGGGGGTTTTTTGGGGGGGGGGTTTCTTCATAAAAAATGATTGAAGCCTTTTCATAATACAATACAATAAAAAGCAAACTAATCTAGATCAAAACAAAAAAGAAAGAAAGAGAAAATGCAAAGTTCCTCTCTCAAAGGTAGATCTGAACTAGGATTTCCATTTTCCCAAAAATGAAAATCCGGACAAAGTTGTTGAGCTTTTCCCATACATTTTGCCGATTAAACAAAAATCTGCCAGGAGGCCATTTTGGCAGCCCATTTCTACGATTCTGTGTCTGGGTATGAGGATTAGATATGTGAACTGCTCTTTGTGTGTACACCATGTGCAATCCAATCTATATCCATATTTTGCATATACAGTTTACACACTCCTTTTTTGTAGTGCATGGACCACTCATGTGGAAGCATGCTCATTTATGGCATATCCCATATATGACATACTGATATGTATTTTGGCTAAGCACCAAGCTTGATGTCAGCATCTGGTTAAAAAAAGGTGCATTTTTTGAAAAAACATTTTTTTTCCCCCTGTAAAAAGATGAGTTTCTAATCTATGGTACACATGTTGTTGATGTTGTTTAGTCGTGTCCGACTCTTCATGACCCCATGGACCAGAGCACACCAGTCACTCCTGTCTTTCACTGCCTCCCACAGTTTGGTCAAACTCATGTTTGTAGCTTCGAGAACACTATCCAACCATCTCGTCCTCTGTCGTCCCCTTCTCCTTGTGCCCTCAATCTTTCCCAACATCAGGGTCTTTTCCAGGGAGTCTTCTCTTCTCACGAGGTGGCCAGAGTATTGGAGTCTCAGCTTCAGGATCTGTCGTTCCAGTGAGCACTCAGGGCTGATTTCCTTAAGAATGGATAGGTTTGATCTTCTTGCAGTCCATGGGACTCTCAAGAGTCTCTTCCAGCACCATAATTCAAAAGCATCAATTCTTCGGCGATCAGCCTTCTTTATGGTCCTGAACACAATTCATTAACATCATTCCTTGTCCTTTAGTCAGTTTATGGTCCTTCCCTTTTCACAGTGGATCTGTACTTCTGGTGTGTTTGAACAACGCAAATGGAGCCACCACAGTACATACACATCAAATGTATTTTTTAATTTTATTTTCTGGAGCTACAACTTGTTTGTGAATGATTGTGCCATGTATTCAATGAAGGCTTGAAAGAAAACAGCTCGACCTTTACAAATGTATCTGTGATGAATGAATGGTGAAATCAGCTGAGTCAGTAATCATCGGCTGACTGTACAAAATACATATCGCTAGGAATTCAATAAATGGATCTTGTTTAAGAAATCATTTCATATTATAAATGCTGCTCTGCATGCAGGGTATTGAATTCAGTCAAGATGAAGTCTGCAGCTAAATTATTCATTCATTCATGGTTCGTGTAGATTTCTATTTTCTAGACACTTATATTGGGAGAAAGTGTATGCACTGTTGCTGTAATTAAAAATAATAATTGATGCCTTCAGCACCGGACAACATGATGTCATAAGACTTTTTAAAAAATCATCTAGGTCACAATTCAGCTGTGAGGTGTGCAGTAGCCAAGCCTGCACCTGCACCTGCACACCTCTTGCAAAATATCAGCAATCACACCAATAGGTGTTTGATGGTAAGGAGGGGGCAAGCACATCTCTCAAGGCCCACTGAAACCCTCATGACCAAGAGCCAAGCCTGATACTTTATGTTAGGTATGGAATGTATGTGCAGCAGGTGTGTAGACAGATGGTTTCTAAAGGGTCACCTGGCCTGTTGCTTCCAAAGGGTTAACTAGCTGCGTTTGCCCATCTGAGTCTAAAACGACACTGCCAGTGGCATTTTTCAGCCCAAGAGTGTGGATCTATTTAAGAAATTGTCTTCTAGTAATCCAGCCCCTTAGAGGCATTTTAGGTGATTACAGTCATCCCTTCTGTAATTTATATAATTATAGAAAATGTGATTCTTCTCAGTCATCGGTTTCATTTGTCTTACGCTGCCCAGACAGGAACAGAATAGAAATCAGAGATTTCATTTGTGCCACTGGTTATTATGTAGCTCTATCCAAATTTCCCTTAAGGTTTAACTAGACACATCAATCTCTCAAATTTACATCTCCTCGGAAGGGACGCTGCACTCTCAATTCCTTGCTTCTCATCTTAAAAACATTTCCGCAAGCCTCACATTCCAGATGGCTGAGGTATCTGCACAGCGTTTTGTGCAGTTAAGCTACAGTGAAGTTCATCACATAGTAGCAGCTCAAGTGGTCATCCATTAATTGTTTAAATTCCCCGACCGGCCATCAGTTTTCCTGTCAGAGTTAGGGACCAAGATTTCAATCACATATAGTGGCATGGGGTTTGTCCACTCAACACCCTTCTAGGCAGGGCCGGCCCAAGACATTTTGGCACCTGAGGTGAAGCACAAAATGGTGCCCCTCTCTCCAGCAGGGAATAAGTGGAGAGTGAAAATCAACACCAGGAACAAAGGGGGAATAAAGTTCTGCATTGGGGTCCCCTACCCCTATGGATCCTGCCGCCTAAGGCGGTCACCTCACCTTCCCTTTCAGTGTATTGCTACTGGGTACATTTAGAACTTTTATTTGGTGGTTACAGTTGTCCATCTCAATATAGGGCAGCCTTTCTCAACCTGTGCGTCCCCATATGTTGTTGGACTACAACTCCCATCACCCCTAGCTAGCAAGGCCAGAGCTCAGGGATGATGGGAGTTGTAGTCCAACAACATCTGGAGACCCACAGGTTGAGAACCGCTGATATAGGGCAGAGCCTTTTCAGAGGATTTGCAATAACAACAGTTCCTGTGTCTTTATTACAAACTGTATTCCCACACACACACATTTCAATTGATGTTTGCTTACCAAAATAGACCCTGTTCTGTTGAAAATGTAGAGCCTATAATTATAGGCTCCTCATCTTTGCCTCCTATTATTTCTTCCTGTATCATTAATTTGCTCACATATCACTCTCTTAACATGCATCCAGGCAAGCAAGATGCATTGTCAGAGTTCAAGGAAACACATGAGCCAGGCAAAACACTCATGGAGGACGCCAAACGATGATGGTGTAGGGCATGACCAGGAGAGAATAGGTGGGCTGGAGAGGGATGTGGCCTGGGAAGAGTCCCAAGGGCCAGGTTGTGAACCCTGGAGGGCCACATTGAGACAAAAAGCCAGAGGTTCCCCATCCCTGCTCTATTTTGTGGCATCACCCCCATTTGATTTCTTTTGAGGGCATTGTTGCCCATTAAACAAACAAGCTTCCTATTGCATCTTTCAACCTTTCCATCTTTTCCATCTATTGCATCTTTCCTATTGCATCTTTCTGATGGCACAACTTGGTCTCACCTACTCTGATTGTGCAGGGGTGTCATGTTGCCCTTTTGGTCTGGCTACATTTTCTCTCATTTTATACCTGATTTTCACTGTGTCCACACTATCGGGTATATGGTAATATAGAAGGCGAGCAGACTAAAATCCAGCCGTTGTTCCGTTGTGGTTTCGGGCATTCTTACTTAGTTTTGCTAATGCATTGGCAAAGGTGAGACCAGCATGCAACTGAAGTTGATCTGACAGTTTTGTATGTTTTATGCCCCCAAATGTCCTGTCACTTATAGGCTCTTCTTTTCGTGTTTCCATAGTTAAAATGTTGAGCTGCTGAATAAAGGCTTCTGCAGTTTCCCCCTTGATCCTGGCACCTCTTGCTAAGTGTTGCTCTTTCATATATGACCTTTCGTCTCCTGACAAAAGGTTTCTCAAAAAGCTCCTTTCACTTCTATGTAAATCTTTTGGGCTTCTGCAGTGAGAGGTAGCCTGTGTAGGCAATAATACCATCTGCAGGGTCCCCTGTGGGGGGGAGGGATGAGAGCATTGAGTTGGTGGTCTGTTCTCAGCACCAACCTGGAAACAATCCCACCCATGCCTCTCACATCTCCTAATCCTGATGGGCCAACTACTTGTTTTCAGAAAATCATGGTAGATGTTGGGCTGTGCCATCCCTGATTATGGGCCATGCTGGCTGCGGTTCATGGCATTTGGCATCCAACAAAATCTGGAGGATACCACATTGGTTATCTATCCTTGGATATATCCAGCACCCCAGCACTGAAGGGGGGTGAATGGAAACACTGTGTGCAACTTTGCGCAGAACAATCTGTGCAGAATAATCTGTGCAAAGTTTAAAAAGCAGCCTTTTCAGTCACCCTAGTGCAGCACTAAAGTGGGCAGTATAGGCAATAATTGTTGTATCTCTCTGTGTGCTTCATGTGTCAGGCTTCAGGGAATCTGCTCCCCATCCCTCCACGGCCAGCTTCCAGTAATGGAAGCTCTTACCAAGATATTTTATTCAATATTCACAGAGAGAGACGCAGGATGCCGTCTCAAGGATAATGGCGTTGCTCTGAGTAATCCCCTCCCCCTTTCTCTCTTAGTCGTCAGCAGCTCCACCCCCTTTACGGGGGTGCTCAATGCCCTTTGTGTATTCATTTTCTGTTCTACCACTTTCACTGCCCTCCAGGTCCTAGGAGAAGGGGGACGGTCTGGAATGCCTTCTAATGATAACATGTCAGCCAGCAGCTCCAACTCTGCTGCTCCCACACACACCCTCTTCTTCTTCCATCATCTCCCAGCTTTGTCCCTCTTCTGTCTCAGATTCATGGCTTTCTGCAAACCACCATTGTAAATCTATACCATCCTCCTCTTCTCAGGAAGGTTCAGGAGGAGGGGGGTCAGTCTCCACCATTCCTCCTCAGTCCAGTCCCTGACAACATGTGTTCTGTGAGAACATTAAGTTTTAGTGGGTACACGTTTGCCCTGCCATGAACTTAGCAACTTTTGTGGTGGATAACTGAATACATATAAACACACTTTAGTAAGCTGAAGCCAGTTTTTATTCCTTTGCTTAAACACCTAATCTTTGTATTCTAGCCTTCTTCCTTCATTGTGCATCAAACTCAATTCATAATATACTTTTGGGGTTTAACTGAAACTGCTTTTCTTCCCCATCTGTACCCAGATACGATGTTTGCACACAGTGAAGTGGTCACTGGCCTGCCAAAGCACAAAATACGTATGCGTTGATGGTGCACTAAAGGAGTAAATCCCTACTTTGGGTGTACAGTGGAACCTCGAGGTGCGGACGTAATCCGTCCCAGAGGCACATCCACAACTCGAAGCGTTCTCATTCAGAAGCACTGCATCTGCGCACATGCACGGCGCGATTTAGCACTTCTGAGCATTCAAGAGCAGTGAAACCCAGAAGTAACCCATTCCGGTACTTCTGGGTTGCTGCGGGACGAAAGACGAAAACATGCAACGTGAAGCGGACGCAACCTGAGGTATGACTATATTGGCTATTTGTGAGTTGATTTATTCATAGAACTATCTGCCATGTGTACATTGAAGCCAAGCCCCAGGTGGGAGGAAGGGGCAATTTGCATAGCTGAAAGGGAGCCCTTTCTAAAACTTCTCATGTTTGGTCCTCAGAAACAAACAAACAAAACCATGGAGGGCAAAATGGTTAATCCACTGAAGTCAATTTATTGAAGCTGAACCTGGCCCCAGGAAATTAGGGGTGCAGTTCATCCTCTAGAATCAGTTTAAGTTTTGAAAGTGCCTTTGATAGAGATCAGGCTTGCACTTTAGGTGTATTGTTAAAAATTGTCGTCTTCCGTGGAAAAAATAAGAGGGGGAAAATGTTGCAGAGGCCATCCAGAATTGGATTGCTTTTCCTACTGACGTGCTCATTCCTGTTTACATCAAAGAAAGAAAAATCTAGTGCAATCGAAAAGTTCAGTTGCTGCAGCATCCTGCAAAAAAAAAATAAGCTGGTTTATGCTTAAAGCCTTTCACTGGCCGTAATCCTTTAAATCCCTTGCATGCCATAGCAAATTGAAATTCAGCTGGGGCTGTCCGGACTTGTAAAGACAAACCATCCTTCATCAAAGAGGCATCCATATTGATAAATTGCTCCCTTCGTAGTCATGACACTATCTCTAAAAGTGATTTGTGTACATTAGCAGAGCAGTAAAAAGATGAAACGAAAAGCCCTTAAGAGTAAACTTAGATGCAGAATGAAAATGATGACTTGTAGCAGTCAAGTGGCTCTTTATGGAATCAGATTTGGAAGGGAGGAAAAAAGAAAGACCATTCATTACGGCATGTATAAAACAGAAGAACAATATACAGGGCAAAATGGACCCAGCTCTTAAGACCCAGCATGGGACTCCTTCTTGCGCTGTTCAAGATTATCATGGAGACAAAATTCATGAGGGCATAGATGCTAAACAAATGGAATAGATTCCTCAGGAGTCTGGTTGGAAGTAATTTGATCACAAGTGCACTTATTCCCTCTTGTTTGATGCAAGGGGAGCATAATCTTTGGAAACGACAGTACTATAGGATTTCCACAGCAGCGCTGCCATTAGATACAATTTAGACTGGTGCTGATGTGCCTGCTTCCCAGTTTGGACTCCCTCGTGAGTTTTTCACATAGCATGGCTCCATCACGTTTTTGTACACATGCTCTTATTCTGCTATGTTTGTTGTTTCTCAGGTCAGACGTGACAGTGGGCGGAATTCAATGAGGTGAAGCCACTTCTTTTAGTGCAAAGGGCAGGCTCCACCTTCCATGCTGCTCTAAAGAGTCCTTCAAACCTCAGGAATTGGCTTTTGGGAAGGAGAAGATGGGAAATCCCATTACACATGGAACTCTATTTACAATTCTTTGGATTCCCATCCTTTAGCAAGTTTACGGGTCATTCCCTCATTCAAGGGAACTGTGGTTCACATAGAGGAGTAAGGATTTTCACACACATTTTTAGCATTCTCACCAAATAGTCATTCTAGGCTAAGTCATGACAGTTAATCAGGTGAAATATATGTTTGTTGTTTAGATTTATCCTCAGAGAGCCAAAATTAGGGATCAGGGGAAACTTGGGCTACCTAATTCCCACTTTCTGAAACAGTATGTGAAACGAAGCACAGGTATCATTTCAAATTCACACTTCCCCCGAATTTTGTAATTCAGTTTTCCAAGCAAATAATGTGTGTAAAAAATACATATATTAGGGGAAAGGATACATAAAACTGTGTTTATTAATGAAAAATAACATAAAGATGAGTTATATTAAGGAAATTAGTTTGCAAAATTGTGTCCATTAGGCAAAATTGCATACATAAATTTATACACCGTTTGTGTGATAATCTCATTTATTAGCTAACTCTTCCCCCCCCCCCCCGATGTGCCAGGTAGACCTTGTGTAGGAAGTGGCTTTGTTTTGTTTTAGATGTGGTGGAACATTCACCCATGCAATTGCTTGCCTTCTTCTGAGACAGTGGAACTTCTCACACACAGATGTTGGGAACAGCCCTTTGTATGACATTTCCTAACACTGAAGTGAATGCAGCCACCCTCCTTGCATAGAATTTCATACACTTAGTGCTTTGGACTGCACCTACTGGCTGTGGTCATGCATCTAATTGCAAGAAATCTTTTGACATCAGCCCAATGTACACTTAACACACAGGAAACTAGATGCGAGTTTGCAGGTCTTGAGCTGGAAAACTCAGTCTGCATAGACTCATGTGCACAGAGGAATTTGCATGGGGTGGTGGTGGTGGGGATTTTTGCTAAAACCATTTAGCAATTAACCAAATACACAAAAGGCTTCGGAATTCACCTAAACAACACCCACAAAAGGAAGTCAGAATTCATGTGTGGAAAATTGAATTAAGAGGAAACAGTTGAGGCACATCAACTTGGAATGAAGATGGTGTCAATCACTTTAATTTAGAAAGGTTTTCCTCTCCCCCCCCCCAACATTTCGCACAGAAATTAACAGTACAGGTTAAATCTGTGCAGATAGCTGTATTGTTCAAATAACCAGAGGACTTACAGGACATACCTCGAAGGAACTGCAAATACATTTGCCAACTGGTTTCAAAAAGGAATGTTTCATGTATTCAGCCTATGTAGGAAGACAGTTGTAAAAGATTCGGATAAACCATTGAATGCTAGGGCTGAGCCAAAGGGTTGGATGGAAGATTTTTGTAAACAATTAGAGGTGCCTGCTATTCTGTGTGATTCTGGTTGACAAGTCCAGCAGATTTCTTAACAATATAGATGGCTTTCCCCCCTGAGAAATGAGAGAAAAAACTTACGTGACAAGTCTGACTTATGCCACACTCAGGTGGGGACTTCAAGTCCTCGCAAATGCCTCATTGGGGCAAGACCTGCTGGGAAGAGTTGCTGTGTTCACTTGGCCTGTGCTGTTTCTTTCTTTCTTCACTGACACTAGTGTTTTTTTTATCGCTGACCTACTACTGGCTCTGGCTCCTAGCACATCATTTTTAGAACTAGAAAAGACCTATATTTGAAAACCCATTCACACCAAAAATTTCAGTGTATGGCCTCTTAGCCGGGCGGGGGGCAGATCCCTTATTGACTCCTGTTGGCAGGTTGGTTGCCATGTGCAAGGTTTCGCTTTTGACATGCCAGTTCAAATGGTTGGTATTCAGTGCTTGTGCTATAGTGCCAGTGGCCAAACTCTGTGTTTGGCAGCCCATGCACTTGGGTAGTTGCAGGGGCTGGGAGACAAAACAGACAAGAGTCCACTCCGATAGTGCACACTCAACCCTGAAGCTAATTAGGTGGCCCTGTTAGGTCCAGTTGTGGCCGACTCTGGGGTTGCGGCGCTCATCTCACTTTACTGGCTGAGGGAGCCGGCGTACAGCTTCCGGGTCATGTGGCCAGCATGACTAAGCCACTTCTGGCGAACCAGAGAAGCACATGGAAACGCCATTAACCTTCCCGCCAGAGCAGTACCTATTTATCTATTTGCACTTTTATGTGCTTTCGAACTGCTAGGTTCAAACTGCTAGGTTCGAGCAGGGACCGAGCAACAGGAGCTCACCCCGTCGTGGGGATTCGAACCACTGACCTTCTGATCAGCAAGTCCTAGGCTCTGTGGTTTAACCCACAGCGCCACCCGTGTCCCATTCTCCCAGCATAACCTACCACAAATGGTTGTTGATAAGGAAGTAAGAACTGCCTCTCTCATTCCTCTGCTCTCTCCGCTGTTTTAAACCCATGCATTTCCCTCCTTTTGTCGTCTCTGTCCATAGATTGTAAATTGTCCAGAAGGACCTGCCCTATTGTGCTTCTTTTACTTGGTAAACTGAAAAACAGGTTAATGTTGTTGCATAAATAATAAAGCACTGGATACATTCTTTTTTTAACACACACACATACACTGGTACCTCGGTTTACCAACTTAATCTGTTCCGGAAGTCCATTCTTAAACTAAAACCATTCTTAAACCAAGGTGCGCTTTCCCTAATGAGGCCTCTCGCCGCCGGTGCCCTTCCACCATTCAGATTCTGTCCTTAGACTGAGGTAAAGTTCTCAAACCAAGTCACTACTCCCGGTTTTGCGGAGTTCATAAACCGAATCATTCTTAAACAGGACTGTTCTTAAACCGAGGTACCACTCTGTGTGTGTGTGTGTGTGTGTGTGTGTGTGTGTGTGTTGGCACACCTTCCAGATTTTGAAAAGTTTCCATCTGACAGCCATACGGCCCTCCTTTCTGCAGAACATATTCCCTAATACGTTGAAGCAGCGAACAGTTTGCATAATCTCTTTGCTTTTCCCTGACTGCCAGTAATGAAATGCTGCTCTTTCTGAAATAATTTCCTGACTATTTGCTAAGATTCATCTCCGACATTTCATTAAATATGATCATTTAACTGTACAAGTACAAATGTATTTTTAATTTCGCTTACTGCAGATATTACAGATGTGGGGGGGGGAATGAATTTGTATTGCTCTAGGACAAATATATCATTCACGTGTGCACACCACTGCCTGCACCCACCCACTCACCCACATGCACAAATATTAAAAATTACTGAAACTTCCACCAAGATTTATACTTAACATTTCCATTTTCAGTGTTGCCAGTGAAACATATTGTATGTCACTCAACCATACATGATGCTATGAGGAATGAGTGGGTGATTACAGTGGGAGGGCTTTATCAGCATCTCCAGCTTTCGGCCTTAAATATCATGCCAAGCTGTAATTTGTGGCTTTAAGACGTAAGGTGAATTGGACAGGGATTTGAGGGGCACATTTTTAAATTATCAAACAGGCCTTTAGCCCAAGGATTTGCCACCATAATAGGTGAAAGCAGATACTGTCATTAAAATGTATTTGGAATTAGCAAACCACAAGCTGCATTTATTCCACCGGCGAATGTTGTGTCAGGCTAACGTACACCAGAGTGAGCCAAAATCTCCCAAACAGAGGAATATCAAGTCTCAGTGTGAAAGATACCTCCCACCCCATTCTTAATGCAATATTTCTGTGGCCGTCAATAACACGTTCCAATTTTCCACAAGGATTTCATTTCCACCTCAGACAGGCACTGAAAAATGCATGCATTCCAACAACAGACTTCATGTGATATTAACTGACCAGCACCTCTGACAGTTACAGAAGGAGACCGACACCTCTGCCCGCAGTGTGTTAAATAGTACATTTAGGAAAACTTTCCTGAGGTCACACTGCTAAGAAAATCTCCTGAGCATTAGTGTATGTGCACTGAGGTGTCATGGTATCTGTCCTGCAGGGTCCCTTACTGACAAGAAAAAGAGCCATATTCCATATGTATTTCCCCTATATGTTTCTTTAATCCTTTATTAAAAAACAAAAAATAGCAAGTTTCCTTCTTAGACCAATACATACAACCATTGGGAGACTTCCTTTCCAGACCACATGTCCCTTGTGGGTAGTCATTTGTATACAGTAACTCCTCATACAGACCAGGACATTTTCCCCAGGCAGTGACAGACATATGGGCTCTATTGAGGTATGCGTACAAGTGGGAGAGCTGTTATAAAGCCACAGAGAAAAGGCTTCCAAGTTAATATATGAAGCTGTGAGCAATTTGGGTCCAAGATACCTTCAGGACCTCCAGATATCCCAGCCCAATCATGGAAAACATTTGGTAGAGGGCTGTTAGTTGCCCCCCCCCCCATGTTACAGATACCCAACTGGCCTCAACTAGAAACCAAGCTGGGCTTTTTTCAGCCGGAACTCTCCGGAATTCAGTTCTGGCACATCTCAGGTGGGCGCCATTGACATTATAAGAGAATAGGGAAGGCGTTTGTGGTGAAAAATAGCACTGAAACCAAGCATTTAGTGTCAGTGGTCCCATGTTTCGGAATATTCTTTCAGCAGAGATTTGGCAGGCATTTCTTTGTAAACTTTGTTATGCTGACAAGGCCCATGCAGTTGTTTACGACTTTCTTGAATGGCCAGTCATTTAGACGATTGTTTTGTGCTGCTTCGAATGATTTTTTTAAAAAAAATTCAGTGGTTTATATTTCTGCATCCTACCCTGATATTTTACGAGAGGGTGGTTCATAAATGATTTTGTAAATAAAATTGGTTCCGCTTCAGTGAACTGTTAGCAAGCGGGGGGGGGGGACCCACTGGTGGTTGACAACTAGCGTGAAGTGACATTCACCTGGCAGCAACTGTGCAGATTTGGGGGGTCCATGAATATAAATCATACCACAAGGACTGGCAGGAAGAAAAATCCAATAAAGTTTAATCTGCAGATCAGTCAGCCATTTTACAGCAGGACCATAACCAGTCCAAGACGTTTTGCTGCCT